TTGCGCTTGAGGAAGCGTCTTTAGGTCACCGACCTTTCGTTCTTTACAAGAACCAAGTGCTAGTGCAGCGAGGGATAGCAATCCGCTGCCTCCAAAGGTATTTAAAAGCCTTAACCAAGGCAACAAACACTTCTGTTCAAAATCGAAACTGATTTTATTTATATTTTTATCCTTGTGTTAAAAGTTTAGATTTTCCTAAATATACTAAATTTCTAGAAAATCTAAATACATGCATAATTACTGGCTACCGCTTTATTCAGCAAAAGAAGGCATAAATTGCTAGCTTTGTCAATACCAATGATGTACAGATCTTTCAAGATGAACATAGAAGTTTGGGTCAGCAAAAGAAGGCATGGATCCAAAGCTCTATCTGTGCCAACGACTCACTGATCTTTCGAGAGATGAATATAGAACAGCTAGAGGCATGGATCCCTAACTTTGTCTGTGCCAATCAAATTTGATCTTTAATTCTCAGGCTGCTGTTTTAATTCCGTGACGTGCCTTTTTAATGGGCGATTCACAGCGTGCTGCTATCAGTTTCGAATATGTCTGTCTGATCCATGTATATCTCTTCTTGACCTCTCTATAAAGTAAAAGCTTATTGACATTTTTAATCCATCTGCTCTTCACAGCAGCAACTGACAAACCCTTGTAAGTAGACTCCTTAAGCACAACAAGCGCTACCTTCGCCGACTTGACGGATGTTATCAACGGCTTATCGATATCCTCTCATTGCAATGCGTACTCTGAGTGGTATGTCCCGTTCGCTGTACGCCTGCTGGTAATGCGCTCACTTTTGAAAGGCGCGTTGCGCTGCGCTGCGGAATCCTGTCTTTCCCCCCGGAGCTAAATACATACAGGCCACAAATCATAAACAAATTTAGGGCATTGTTGCCAAAGAATGAATTATAACTTTACTAGTTTCTGATTAGCCGGTATCTTTTTTACTATGCCAGATAATGTTTCCGCTTTGGCGCACCCGCTGTTTCACTCTTTTATCCACATGAAAATGCACCATCTCTTGCTTATAAAGCTGAGCTAGTACAGCTTAATCCTTTTGTGGCACGCTCTTGTGAGTGAAATCTTGATATCATGCCACGAAATAATCGTATGAGCTCAATCAGTCATGGCGCCACGTTGCCTCCCTTCGAGCGTCTTATCGTGGGACAGATACTGATATGGAATTTTTTCGGATGCACTCTCTGCGCAGCGCAATCAGAGCGATTGGCTTAAGGTGCTTCACGACCTTCAATCTCGAATTGGTGCTTTAGATCGCATAGTATCTCAGTTAGACGGTTGGCTGATACGATACTTTTCTATCAATCAAACGCTTTATCTCGAATGGCGTTTGAAAGCGTGGTCGTATTAGGGCTTTCATAAGCCCTCGTAAAGCACAACATGTGATTGTATTGTTTTGAAATATAGTGAGTGAGACTTCATTTTTTATGCTAGAACCGCTAGTAAATTAGTACAGCGAGTCGCAAAGTAGAAATCCGACAATGAATGTTTAGTTATTTTAAAAGCTTTTAATATTTCACAGTCATTTTCTATGTGTGGTCCATTCACCTCCGATACCTGCGCACTGCTTTTGCACATCCCGGCTCTCTGCCATCATGCCGCGCGCTAACTGCATGACGCTCAAATTTTGTCAAATAAAATTTCGAATACTGCTATGAAGTGGTGACAGGATTATGTAAACAAGTCGAAACATATTCACAACTTCTCCTCCTTCATGATCGGATCCACCATGTCATGGTGTCAAGTAGACAGAGGTTGAGCCGATCATGGTGTCAAGTAGACAGAAGTTGAGCCGATCCTCATCAAAAAATATTAAAATGACTGTAGAGGAATGTGCTGCCATGTTTGACGCAGTTTCAATGCGGGAGGCATTTTGGTTTCGCTTTGCGCTCGTCCCACGAACGTGCTTCTATGTTTAACCTCCACGATTCCCTAAATTAATCGAACATCTGATTGTGGATATTATTGCTCTATTTAGTGCCGAGCATCTTGAGCAAAGCTTGCTTGTGATGCATTGTATAGTATCAATCGTTGTTCAAACGTGGTCAACGGTAACACAACAGTCTTGCTCTACCCTAACCTGTTCAATATCGTTAACAGCAACGAGTTGACGCATCTTGCGCAACCAAATCGCATAGATCACAATACCGATTTTACTTAACGAAATTCTTGCAAAGAAAAATTCAGGCTACTAGACTGTGAGCGTTTTGCCAAAAATGGATGACTAGCCAAAATATTGATGCATGAGTCGGGATTTGTATCCACAAAAATGTTTTGCACGTGCGCATACAAGTTCATCATGTGATATTCTGTTATGAAGGTCATGCTGTCTCCTGTCTCATAGGCGTCGGGTGAAAGCAGAGCTAGCTTCAACAGTGAGACTTCTTACTTTAGGCGTCCACCCCGTTTGAGATGGACTCTTTCTCTATAGCAATTAAGATTACCATAACTTTGGCCATTTTTCGGACAAAGCAATAGCGCGTCGCGCTAACGATATCTATGCTAGGAGACTGCGCGCGCAAAAGTGCAGTATCGGAGTGAGAAGATTATCCCCGTCGTAGGTATTTGCCATGCCAATGACGCAGCGAAGTAAGTGTATTGACGTACGAATAGCGCCCGGAATCACAATATTGTCAACTTTTTTTAGTAAATTGATTTAGCGGCTTATACACGTTGGACATTTTACTTTGCGCAAGATGCACCAAAATGATGCCGCAGCAAAACATGCATCTGGTTGAGTGTGCAAATATCCGCGAAACTTCCTGATCTGCGGCAAGCCGTAGCACATAAGAAAATCAAGAATGTCAATATCGCGAGTCTCAATCATATGTATTGGCACAATTCGTTTCACGCAAAAGCGTTTTGACACTCACGGGATTTGCACCATTTCGATCACCTTCGCCAATGATCAAATTGTTGTCTGGGATGCTTTGTGTAACGGGGTTACACGAACCCTAATAACAGGGGGGAGTGTCACACGAGATGTGCATAATGTGACCACACACCCAAACAAGAACACGGTGCCACACACCCAAACAATAACACGGTACGAGCTTCAATGTTCATCTCTCGAAAGATCAGTGCATCATTGTCATTATCGACGTAGACGACCTGATGCTTGCGGTCCAAGTTCAAAAGTACGAGAAAATGGGTGAAGTTTTTTCAAAGGTTGTTGACTCTCATAGCCAAAATGTCAGGTGATCCATCACGCAATCCGAACTTGCTACCATATACACGAAAAGTATCCTTCTGGGAGCGATTGGTTTCGAGAGCTGAGATGTTCTTATGCTAATTGGAGAAGATGTGTGCAGCCTCTGATGTGAAACGCAACTTCAGATCCGGAAAGATGGGTGGTGTGCAGGGGAAGAAGATTCTATGATCGCGCCAGACGCGACGTACTTCGGCTAAGCTGAAGCTGAAATTAGTGTTCTGGCTGTCAAGCAGTGTCATAATCCTCGCATACGTTACTTACAAAGCATCATCGCTCTATTTTTTTCTGTCAGGAAGTATGCAATGTACTACTATGTACATACACCATTACACTTTTGTGCAATTGAGACATAGTCATGGAGTGTGTATAAGGGAACAACAACGTCATAAGCAAGCTATTGACAACAAATTGAAAAAATAGGTGCTTCGCAATTCTCTCCTGGAAAAGCTTCAGCGAGTCATAAACTCACATCGCCCAAGAAGCAGAAAGCGGCTGGCGCGGGCAAGAGTCGTTAGTGTTAAGGAAACTACAACTTTTGACTAGAAGGGCCACAACCCGAGAATATCGCATTCTGTGTCACGTTGTCATATTACTGCTGAGTAGCTCGAAGGATTGCGAGTTGATGAAATGGTATGGTTGATACTTGATGAGAAACAAACCCTGTCGTCCACATCAGATATTTTTTCATCTAAAACAGTAGCTGAGCACTGAGTGTGATGAGTGGGTTAGCTGACCGCTTGCGAACTATATGTACCCATTACATCCTTTGTTGCATATCACGACATGGTGAAATCTGATCCAACACACGTGTTATCTTGGGTATGAAAGTACGTCATAAAATTGACTTGTTTCTTTAAACCTGATATTGGATATACGGCGATGACCTGTACCAAGAAATCTGTTTGACGTCATTAAAGCTTTAACCCTCGCTAAGTAGGCTTCTAGTGCGAGAAGATAACTTTTCACACTAGGCGTCGACTTTCTGTGTCCGGTAGATTAAGGACAAGTGGTGAATTGTACATGCATATAAAAGGCTAAATACAGCCACAAATAAGCGCAGACATCACTCCCATTGAAGGATGCACTGTAACGCACCGTGTTCACTTTGCCCCAGGGCATGCAGGACGGGCTTAACAAGTTGATGTCCTTGCTAGGCCCTGAGGGCGTGCAACACCTTGCGGACCAAGGCCCCGAGGCAATCGGTGCGCATCTAGAGGCGTTTTCAAATTACGAAAACGCGCTGCTAGAGCACCTGCAGCAGATGATGTCCTCATCATTTGCGTCTATGACGCCACCGTCGGTGACGGACGATTTCCCTGGCCTAAGCCGCTCATGGTGAGCGTTAAGGTCTTCGAGAGGAAAGATGGAGAGAATCTCCTGCTCTGGGTAAGAGAGGTCGAGATGGCCATCACATCCGCCATGCTCCAGTCCGAGCAACAGCGCGTAGCGCTAGCCTATTC